TGCTGAGGTGTAGATGTTAGCCCGCAGGCGAGAGGAACGTGAGAGCTCCGAAGTGAGAGCCGATATCCTCCCAGCGTAGTCGTAGATTCAGTAAACAAGCGTAGGATTAGTCAATGTTCTTTATGCCTGGACCAAAGGATAAAGAATATGTATGCTCCTATTTGACACAATATAATTTGAACTAATTCACTTTATCCATTCACTATAATTTCTTGATAAGGAGAATTATGTTTTCTTATATATTGAATATCACATTAAAAACTTCATTAGTATATTTAGTTATTTAATAGTTATTAAATTGCATATTTATTTCAATTGTCTATTAGTGACAGATAAGCAAATTGAATTCCACTGTTGTGATTAAAGTATTATTTTTCTAAAGTCTTAGTTCGTAGTTCTAATATTACTTCCTGTGGCATCGATATCTAGGGCTCCATTAGAGTCTTATATTACTTGAGTGATACGTATACTTGCGTTGATAAATGTGACTTTACAATTATTGAATATTTATTATATTTATCAAATCTATAACTGTTATTAAGTTTTGGTACAGTTGTTGAGGAATTAAATCTTTTAGCAGCAGTATTAATTACTTATATTTTTAAGCATATATAAAGTCGCGGTCAACACCCCCTACATAAAAGTTACCTGCTCCCCTATCTTGTAATTTCTCATAGCATAGAAACAATACGAAGCAGAATTCTCCTCATAGCCACCATCCGTTAATCTCCGAGTAGAGGAATCAACCAATTGAGCGAGCTCCTTCACTTCATTGCCCTCAAAATAAGAATCTCCAATACAAAGCTTGTCATCGGGTGCAGCATAGTTAAACAAATCACCAACAGGGCACAAGCAACCAGCATCATCCCAAGGTATATATAAAGTGCGGGAAGATATCTGACAACCAACAGTCAAATTGTAAATGTTCTATAGAATAGCAAAATTAAAGGAAAACAAAAAATTTACATATGTAGCACACAATTCTTATGTGTTTAACTATTCACACTTAAACTTTCATATTTACATACATAGCACTATGGTGCTTTAAAACTATGCATGAAAAATTTATTTTGCTCATAAAAAGTCGTAATAGTGATACTTTTTATGTGACATTAAAGATTTCAATGCTAGGTGCGTAAATATGAAAGTCTAAGTGTGAGATATGGACATAAATAAGAATTGTGTGCTATGTACATAAATGCCCGAAATAAATAATATGAAAGAATATGAATAACTAGCTGCATAAATCTAGGCACTAACAGTTGCAGAAGCCCAAAGCCATGATCTAAAAGATAAAAACTTTAGTTTGAGCTTCATTTCTTGCATGACCACCAAGCTTTCCTTCCAGTCTGATCTAGCCCTTACAACAGCCTTTTCAGAAACCCAGATAGCATCTTCTACCTGAGATTTTCATGAATTTAAGAAGCTGAAAGTGTCTTAAAAAAAAAAGGTTATAGAACTACCTGAAGAGCATGAATTTCAAATTCATGGAAATTCGGCAGTGTGTTGTAACTCGAAGGCAACAAGACCAAATAGGGATACCACCTAGAATCCCTTCCTTTCGCCACTTCAGCCAATAAACATATGGTCAATTTCTGCAAAAAGCTATAATTAAAACATTGTAAATTCAGAATTTAAAAGGTCGACAATACAAATCAAACAAACCAAAAAATTTTCTTGGGTATGTAAACTAGAACGTTTCTTTCATGAGTGTCACTGCAGTTTGTACTCAATGTATTATGTTGTTTAATAGTAGTAGTGTATTTAGTAACAATACCACAAACTCATTAACTATGAAAGAAATGTAATTTTTCTAAAGTGTGTCAACCAGCAAACTATAAAAGTAGAAGCATGTATGAGCTTCGGAATGACAAAATGCCAACAGCATAAAAAATAAACCTTTTAAAATATTATTTGTTGATTCTTGCTTTGTCCGTTGACTCACATTTTGAGGGAAGAACTAGTAAATGAGAGAAGATAAGGTCGGAGAAAAAGAATTGTAAAAGGATTCTATATTATATCTCTGAGAAAAAGTTCAACAATTCCCCCTCTTTACAATAAATCTCTACATTTGGGGACATTTCACCTATAAAATACACAAATATGATAATTATACTCAATATTTAGGGATTTCTGGCAACATTTCTCTCTCTTTTTCGAATGTTGTATAAAAATATAATCTCTAACGTGTTATCCTCTGTCGGTGCCACATTACTTATTTCTATCCTCTAAACACTCCATCCAGTCACATCTCAACGTCTGATCGGCTCTCTAATTAGAATCTGCTCTGAGAACAACTCGCCAATGGGGTGGGCAGACTTCTCATTCAACATGTCGTCTGATAAAATGAGGATCACTCAATACGAGACTATTGAAAAAGTTCATCAAGTGGTAGTTGGTGGTTCATGCCCGAGTTCACAAACTTAGCTACTCGTCATAGGCGGCTCGAACTCACCTGCACGTCGTTGATTGTTCGTACTCGACTAATCGTTGACCCTAGGATTTGATGGATTGGGCCAAAAGGCCCATTAAGCCGGCATCGTCCCTTACTAGCAGAACATGGCTAATTTTTGTCATACATAATTGTTTGTCGAAAAAATTCTAATCCGTTTGCCAACGCCTTTCCATATAATAATTCATGAATTGCAACTCTATACATATAGTAATTCAACAATTTATGGACAACAATTTTCCATCCATAACAATCCAACAATTTATAGATACCAACATCCTGTTTTTCCTAAAAAGTCAATCATGGATTCTATAATTAAAATCTAGTTTGCCAAATTATTTTTTTTCCTAGATTGTTGTTTAACCGCATATCATGCCCGAGTTTTAAGCATATTTTTTACACAGAATAAAAGAATAAAATTCATTCAATATCTCATTTTTTACTCTCCACTTTTCACAATCCATTTTTCAAGATTGTATCAAATACATCGGGGGTTCTACTTCTGATAAGGCCAATAGGTCCTTCAACATAAAGCCTATGCTCCAAGCCGATGGGTCGTTCATTAACACTGAAAGCCAATAACCATAAAAAAACGAGCGGCAAAAAACATATGTGAATGATCCTTCTAGAAAGAAGACTATGACAACTTGTGACAAGAAAGCTAATGGCCAAGTCGACAACTATAATACTTAAAATTAACCTCGAAAGAAAAATTTAATGATGAAATATTAGACTGAAAAAAATGAACAAAGATAAATGACAGAAACTATCGCCTTCTTGTTTCAAACATATAATAGACAAC